ACATCCATGTACATGGGCTTGCTGGATCGTGTGGTAATTACATGCTTAATATTTTGAGGAACTGCCGCACTGTTTTCCACAGTAACTGCACCATCTCACATTCCCACCAGCAATGCGCGAGAGTCTTATTTCTCCACTTCCTCGCCAACACTTATTTTCTCTCTCTCTCTCTCCTTTTTTTTTTTTTTTTTTTTTTGAGACAGAGTCTTACTCTCTTGCCTGGGCTTCAGTGCCGTGGCGTCAGCCTAGCTCACAGCAACCTTAAACTCCTGGGCTCAAGCGAGACCCCTGCCTCAGCCTCCCAAGTAGCTGAGACTACAGGCACGCGTCACCATGCCCGGCTAATTTTTTCTATTTTTAGTTGTTTGGCTAATTTCTCTCTATTTATAGTAGAGACGGGTCTCGCTCTTGCTCAGCCTGGTCTCGAACTCCTGAGCTCACAAAGACTGTGTTTTAAGTTGCCGTCTGGCTGCCCCTAACGCCTAGTTGCTCCAGCAGCTCCATCAGTTACTTCATCACCAGGGGCAGAGTGGAGGGGCACTCGCCTCCCCCTTGTACCGCCCTTGCCCAGCTGTGTCCTCAGGCAGGTGTATTCTCATCCCTGCTTTCCCAGCTCCTGCAGGGAGCCCCGCCGCAGGTCCAGGTCCGGTGGGAGGGAGGGTGGCTCCCTCGGGCCTCTGCATGTGGGTGACGTCCACTTTCCACCAGGCCTTTTCTCTTCTCCGAAATCCTTTAATTCACCTCGTAAGGGTTCGCTATCCAGTCCGCGACTGTGCTGCTCCTTCGTGCCCCTCCCCAGGTCAATTTAATAGACAATGATCAATAACACCTTTTGTGTTCTCAACACTATGCTGGTACGTGGCAATAGACAGCAGACAGTCCTTTCTCCCAAGGAGAAAATAGCTGTGCATAAAGGCCACTGTCCGTAATACTGTGCAGAATGATGCTAGAGCGGGGCGGCAGGCTCTCAAGTCATGCTGCCTCGTACATAAGGGCCTTACCAGCCACATGACCTCCGGCTGTGCCTCAGTTTCCTTATTTAAGAAGGGGGATAATAGTACCCATCTCTTTTGGTACTTAGTTGGTGCATGAGAGCTCTGCCTGCCACATAGCACTCAATAAATGCTATTTATTCTTAATACTATTATAGCACACTGTTCACTATGGGAACCCAGAGGAGGGACTTGTGAATTCTAGCTTGTACATTTGACATCACACAAGCACCTGTCTTGGCTTGCCAGTGGCTTGTTCTCTTCAAGTAAAGCATAAGGGCCTTGAAGCTAAGTGCTACTGTCCCTTTCTTGTCCTGTACCCCTGCAGGACCTGCTCAGGGCTAAGCACTTTGGAGGTGTTTGGCAAATACTTACTGATGTGAATTTGATTAGACAGGAGAGAGACACGGACTAGGTTCCTTTCCATGCACCCAGGGGCCTGTAGGCTATATAGACCCAAACGAAGAAGAGATGCTTACAGAGGCCACCCTCTGTCACACCCTCCTTGGGAATGGGCGTGGAGATGGGTGGCAGTGGAGAAGTCGGGATAGGGGCGTGCAGAAAGGGCAGTGACAGAGAGAGGGACACCTGTGGGCAGCAGGGCTTAGGCCTGGGACAAAACCCCAGCCACAGTCATTACCCTAGGAGGAGAGGATGCATTGGCTGAGTCTCAGCGAGCCCTTGTGAAAGGCAAATGACAAAAAGGAGGAGTGCAGACAGCTTCTCTGGGGTCCCACTGAGTGTGCCTCTGACGTCTGTCTGTGCCTAGCGGGGGGCTGTGTGCTCCGTCTCAGCTGCACTGCATTGGCTGCTACTGTTTACCCACATGTGTCCGTAATATTCTACTACACACATAGATTCTAGTTTAAAAGAGAAAAAAAATCAAAGAATATAAACGAATTTATTTTAGCTACATGCTGATTGCCTTTTGGTTTGCCTGTGCTCTTACTAAAATAAATCTTGAACACCTGGGCCAGTTTCTGTTTTTATAAAGCATCAAAGTGTTACTAAAAGATACTAAAGGAAGAGACTGAAGGTTCCTCCTCAAAGATTCCTGACCCTTCGGATATCAACAAGGGACCCCGGGAAGAGGGGTCTTGCTGAGTTCGAGTGCTGTCTCTCCTGTTTAGACGCTGTGTTGTTACACCATTTCTCCACTTAGCCTGAGCAGTGTTCGTTTTTTTTATTCCTTGGCAGAAATGAATTTTACTGTTAACATCCACAATCTTTCTCCATGAGCCTGGGGAATGGTTGAAAGGACTAATATTTATTTATTCATTTATTGATTGATTGATTGATTGAGACAAGGTCTCGCTCTGTCACCTAGGCTGGAGTGCAGTGGCACGATCATAACTCACTGCAGCCTCTAACTCCTGGGCTCAAGGCATCCTCCTGCCTCAGCCTCCCGAGCTGCTGGGACTTTTTGTAGATATAGAGTCTCACTGTGTTGCCCAGGCTGGTCTTGAACTCCTGGCCTTCAGCGATCCTCCCTTCTCAGCCTCCCAGAGTTCTGAGATCACAGGTGTGAACCACCACACTCAGCGTTAAATTATTATTAATATTTTGGTTGTATACGGATCCATACCCCTATCCCCCAGGTCCTCTCTTACTGCAGAGTAGGCACAAATAAACGCACCGGGCACCTTGTATCAGTAGTTAGGACTTTCCCTTCGAAAACTGCTTTGCAGATCAGTTTGCACAATTAGAAACAGGAATATATAGCATGCGGTTAAAAAAAGAAAAGGAATTTATGTATGCTTTTAAGCATAGAGTACAGAGAACCTCTATGTGATTTTTTTTTTAAATGAATTTTACTAAGTACTGTTACAGAGTTGGCACCGGAGCTAACAAGAAAGCAAATATCAACATTTAAAATGAAGTGCATGACATCTACATGCCAGATGGTGTTCTCGCAGTGCTATTACCACTTTCTTTCTGGCTTTCATCCTTTTTCCTGACATCGCTGTTTGCTTCTTGACTCCACTGCTCTTTAAAAAAGTCTCAATTGTCCTTAGCCCTTTGATTCTGTATTTATATTAGGTGTCTCTCTCTTACCTGCCCTTTGGAGGCTTGTCAACCTTTTTCCCCAAGGAGGAAGAGGACCTGTGCAGATGGTCAAATAAATATGTGACACCTGCTTCCGTGAGCCACTATTGGAGGACTTTAGGAGTTGAAGGGATTGCCCCCTGCCTAGAAAATGGGCACACGCCGCTTTCCATCTCCCTTCTGTTTTTAAAGTGATCGCGTGCCTTTAGTTTTCATGATATTTCTAGAAATGTCTTGGATTCAATTTCTTCTCTATTATTAGGGAAACAACAAAAACAACAAAAGAACCCACTAACCGAATTTTGTGAAAAGTTTATATCAATCAAAAACTTAAATGTTTTGCACAGTTAAAGTTCTTTCCTGGAGTGAGAGCGCTGGTGATCCTGTCTGGGGAGAAGTCCCTGCTTCCCGTGGGAAATTCACGGGCCTGAGCATTGGCATGGAATGCGCCACACTCCTTGTCTCCAGACTTTTGAGCGTGATGTTTATGGTGCTTCAAACAATGTACTCCCCCCACCCCCCCACCCCCGCCTCCTGGTCTCGATGCAAATGTCAGTTGCTATGGGAGGTTTTGCTGACTTCTAAATGAGCTCAGCACAGCCCCCCCCCTCCCAATAGCACCTCGTATACCCTAGAATACATTCATGTCACTGTACTGGAGTTCCGCGCTCGATGCCCGCCGTCCCTATCAGCCTGACAGTTGTGTGAGGTCAGGTTCCACCTGTCCAGTTGCCACTGTATCTCCAAGTGCTAGCATGCACTACAGGCATCCACCACCACGCCTGGCTAATTTTTTGTATATATATATATTTTTTTTTAGTTGGTCAATTAATTTCTTTCTATTTTTAGTAGAGACGGGGTCTCGCTCAGGCTGGTTTTGAACTCCTGACCTCGAGCGATCTGCCCACCTTGGCCTCCCAGAATGCTAGGATTATAGGCGTGACCCACCACGCCTGGCCCCCCCAGTGATTCTTAACCCTGTGTATCCAATACCCCCTTTTATAGCAAATATTCATTAATGTTCCTTTACCACATTGAAATGAAGTTCATAGATACTGCAACTTACCTATGCATGTAATTTTGAAAGATGCAGTGAATTTTTTTCTAGCTACAACATAAAGGAGAAAGAGAAGGAAAGTAATTTATAACCAAATAATACGTGTTTCAATGATAGGTGCTTCGTCACGAAACCCTAGGAGACCTGCCGAAGCGGCGAGTCTTGGCATCTCTATGTAGGACGCGGTAGCTCCAGATGCATGTGGGTTCAAGTGTGTTGTATCAGTGACTAAGATGCCACGAGGGACTTTTCCTCCAGTGATGTGGTTTTTCCAAAATAGAGAACAACTCTCAGCAAGGTTCCAACTAATCAATTTACATTAGCGTCACACTCTTGTAAAATTTGGTCTGTATCAAAGCAGTGCAAAAATATTTTTTTTGTGTGTCTTTGTATGTAAAAGGGAGTTAGGCTCTCGTCTCAGATGATTCTAAACGTGAATTGTTCTCAGTAGTACGTTCAAAACTCCCAACTAAACGTGGGATAATTCTCTGCTTTGTGGCACTCACTCTTGTGTCGTAGGACGTCTGAATGCTTGACGCCCTCCGCTGCGTGCCAGCCCCAGGTGTTGTGGCAGCCACAAACACCCCGACACATTTACAAAGCACCTTTTAGGGTGCTACGATCCAAACAGGGTTATATAAAAACCTCTGGGAAGTTGCCACGTATCTTTCAAGAATTCAAATAGGTAATTTCTAGTCTCGTGTGAATGGCCATGTGCAAATAGATAAGCCTCTTCTCCTGATGTAGTTCTATGCTATTGACAGTCAATACTGTTCCAAGAATATTTATTATATACACGTGTGTGTGTGTGTGTGTGTGTGTGTGCGTGCATCCATCTGCTTAGCCTGTCTAGAATATATGCTTTTACTAGCATTCCCTATTACAAAGTCCTGTCAGTTTCTCTCTTGCTGGACAATAGTTTTATTTCCTTCATAGAATAGTTTAACCTTAAACGATCACTCTCGTATTTTCTCTAGGTGCTAAAGTAGAGAGGGGGTGTGGAAGGTGCTGGCGACGGCAGGGATCCCCAACACTGTGCTCAGGAGTAGGGGCTCCGTGGCACCGGCAGCAGGCAGGATGCAGCTGCTGCACTGGAGCAAGGCCAGGTCCTCAGGGTCCCCCGTCGTCGCCACCTTTGGCAAATGTTCCCGGATGCTGAAGGCTCAGACAAGCCCCGTCTCTTACTTCACCGTGGGGAGTACCTGCCCCTCCTTCTCCTTTCCGTGTTTCCTCAAGGGATCGGTTGTCACTCCTTTCCTAAAAGAAAGAAAGGCAGAGCGAATGAATGATTGTCAGGGGCATTGGGCTGTTATTTCTCCAGGGAAGCGCCGCCACACTCAAGAGCATGTTCGTCGTTTTCTCTTGTTCCCTCTTCTCCTTCTTCCTCTTGCTGTCTCCCTCCTCTCCCCCTTTTCATTTTCTGTTGTTACAAAGATTGCAGAGAGAATACCTGGTCCCTGCAGAGACTTTGGCAAATGCAGAGGAGTACAAAGAGCAAAATAAAGTCAGGGGAATATACTTTGTCCAGAGAGATGCACCACTAGCATGTGGATAATTGTACTTCTGAATCTTTTTTCTTTGTATCTACGCTTGGGCCAAATCCGGTGTTCCCCTGGCACCACAGCAGCGTGTTCCCTCTACCCCCACCTCCCTTTCCACGCTTCCCTGCCCTGTGGCGCTGGCAGGGGTGGTCACCATGCCCTGGCTCTCCGCCTGTGACTCCATCAGCTCCTTCCGGACGGCCAGCCTCCGCGCTGACCACCGGCAGTTCTCAGCGGCATTGCGGGCCTCTTCTGCAGGGGCGCTCAGAAAGGGCAGGGGGCGCTCCTGCCCTCCTGGGGTTGAGGGTTGTGCCGACAGCGCTCTCCCCTATAACACTAGGTTCCCAGGAGTAGATGCAACGCTTTCCGCACTGCAGCTGAGACCAGCTGTGCATTTTAACCCAACTTTTTAAGATTTAGGGATGCCAGAGAGAGGCTGCCCATGGTGGCTGCAGCACATCTGGTTATAGTTCTGGCTGCTCTTGGAGCCCAGAATTTCCAGCCCGTCATCAGGGGGTCCAGTGGGGCTGTGTTCTTGACCTGCCTCCAAGCGGCTAATGGCAGCAGACCCTGGCCTCCGGGAGTGGCTGCTGCAGGCAGGCAGCTTAGCTCAAAATGAGAGAAACCAACTATGGCTAATTTAAACAAAAAAGAAAAAAAAATTTTTTAAAAAGGATACTGGATAGTTTCTGAATCCCTGGAATGGTCAGAAAGCCAAACCACTAAGAACGGTGACCCAAATCACATTACAGAAGCGGTTCTGGAAGAAGCCAGTACTGTCTGCCTGGTACAGAGAGTGCAGCTAGCCCTGGCTGCTGTGCTGCTGCTGGAACCATGCTTGTGACTGCCCCTAAAATGGTATATAATGTCACCATTGCTGCCACCAGCCCTGGAATGGCTTCCACACGGTCCCTATTTGTTTATAGAACATCAATGGTGTGTCCACCCCTCCCCCTGCCACCAACTGTCCCATGGAAGTTGGGACATCTGGCGGTATGAATTCCACTTTGATCAAGGGCACGGTTTGCCTACCATGTACACCCACTCAAGTCTCTCACCCTCTTTTGGGGTCTCTCACCAGAACCCTTGAGAGGTGGCTGTGCACAGGTGGTGGATCATTTGGTGTCCACACCAGAGACGGGCTCTGCCTCTTAATCTCTTCCTCTTGGCCCTCTGGTCCTGCAGGCTGGAGGTTTTGCCAGTCTCCCTGGAAGACCCCAGAAAGGCCTTGTCTGTCCTACCATCCTTTCACTCCAGGCCCAGTGGTCGTTCTGCCTTCTCTATGACTCTGTCCCTAGCCTTGTTTTACTTAGTGCCTGGGAGAGGAGAAAGTGGTTTTGCAAGCTGAGACCTTCACTCCTCACTTAGGAGCAGTCTGTCTCACTTAGGGTGCCAGAGAGAGAGGCTGGGAAAGTGAGCAGTGGGTACTTTTCAGCTTCTGTACTGGGAGGAAGTTTTGTGTTCAGATGATTGGCAGGCAAGAAGAATGACCAGCATCCTCTGCAGTAGTCACGCCCTGTGGTCATGTTAGCGCCATTCCATCACAACGTGATAGTGCAGTGGCTTAGGCAACCAATGACGGCATCCCTGATGGTCACTCACAGTACATTCCAGGCTGAGCGTCATGAGGTTCAGTGCTAATCTTTCTTCCAGTGTGAGATGAACATCAGGAGGCCTGGGAGTCTTTTTTTACTATCTTTAGGGTCCCAGTTTCTGGTCCTCTGTGAAGAACTGTTCAAATGAGAGCACGTATATCTCTACTAAACACTTTGCAGAAGCAATATATTCTAAAACTGTGTTTTAAAGAGAACACTTCTCTAAAGAAAATATTATCTATAGAGACACAGACCTACCTAAGGGTGAGCACTGTTCACTACTTCACCTTATGGAGCATGGGTCCTTAGGTTATAGCCCAGTGGTGTCCAGGCCTGCTTTCCTTTGCATAGCTAAACAGTCACTTCACAAAAGGTAAAAGGATGCTTTATTAATTACATTAAGCTCCATTAAAGGGTTTGCATATAACTTAATTCTTTTAAGAGGAAGAAATGTACTAATTAAAAACAAGGACCTTTATTATGTGTGTTCAGCTATCCAAACAGGCTTCACTACAGTCATTCTAACCAAATCCATTCTAATCGAATTAAAGAGCAATGCTACTCTTGAAAAATCACAGCTGAATGATGGATGAATAAACAAATGTACTTTGTGTTCATTTATTTGTCTAAAGTGCACGCACACTTGGAACCTGGAACTTCCTGGAGGCATTTGCGTAAAACTTGGGGTGACACACAAAGAGGACAAGTCTCTTAGCGTGTCAAGGTACCTGCCTTGGATGATTCTGCCACTTAGCTATCATTGGCAACTTTGCCGTGAGCGGAAAACAGCCAGTGTATTTGAAGTCCAAGTTCACTGGAACCTCCTTGGCCCCATGGCAGGGTTATTTCTCTCCAGCACTAATGCACTGTCTTGGGTCATTTGCAGCAACTCCCTTTACTACAAAGAAGTTGAGGCATGGACAATAAGTATGGGGGACTGTGATAGGCAGGCCTGTCAACAGTGTCATCAACAGTGTCATTAGGTCCCCCGTTAAACTCTCTCACTCTGAGGATTCTTTTCCCTTCATGGCACATCTGATTTATCACAAGCCATGACTGTGTATTTGCTTGTGTGATTATGTAGTGTTTGTCTCACCCCCTCCTAGCTCTGGGACCCTGGGGGCTGTTCTCTTCTACTCACCAGTGACGTTAGGTCAGTACCTGACATAGAGCAGGTGCACGATAAATAGCGACTGGAGGAAAGGTTAGAAACGTTACATAGAGTTCAACTTTATTCTTAGCTTGGAAAATATCCTGCTAAAGAGATTTCCTCAGTTCTGGGCGTTTCTGTTGAGTTCCCTTGATGCAGGGCTTTCTAGTTTAGGATTTCTTTCTGCATGACTTTCTATAAATGTGTGTTCCCTTCTTATTTATTTTTTTGTTCTTAGTCTAACTAGAAAGTTCACACATGTCCCTTTCTCTTGTCTCTCCATTTTATTCTATCTCTGAAACAATTAGGTCCAAGCCCAGCTGGGGAGGCTTCTTATACCTCCAGGAAAATTCTAGATCCAGCAAACTGTTGTTCCATCTTTGCTTCCTACACCCTAAAACCTTTTGCTCAATTGCGCTCTCAAATTAATTTTTCTTAACAATTTTCTAAGTTCTTCTTGCTTCGCATTGCCTTTTTTCTCTTCTAGTTCATGCATCTTTTCCCTATAATAGTTCTTAATGCTTATTTCATTATTCTTCCCTCTGTGCTTACATCAAAAAGTGGATGGTCATGCTTGAAGCTCAGACTTGTAGGGGGAGGGAGGACAGGGGCATTATACACAACCTTAAAATTTGTACCCCCATAATATGCTGAAATTAAAAAAAAAGTGTTTGTCTAAAAAAATAGAAAAAAGAAAGAAAGAAAAGAAGAAATGAAGGAAGCAAGCAAGGAGCTATGGGGAGGGGGTGTTGTTTAGCACTTATCCAATAATACCCATGCATTTTTATAGGTATTGACTCAATCTGGCTGATCTTGGAGGCTTTCTTCAAATCTTCTAACAGGCAAGAGAAATAAGAAGCCAGGAAATGCATACCTGTTTGTCAGTCACCTTGATTCTTGGGCGGATAGATAATCATTCTATCTGGTAGCCTCAGGGCCACTCACAGGAGTGGGTTTGGGGCCATGGTGGTGGCATATAAGAGCTCTCTTCTCTTTCTTGCTTTCTGGGTACTCTTGGGTGCTGGTTCTAGTGAACAGGCACATGGTTAAGAGATGTCTGGGAAGGATGAGAGAGAGGAAAGTGTTCTAGGTGATCCAGCGGGGCGCGAGTGAGTGTTTTACTTACCTCTTCTGATGGGCGGCTGCGTTGTGACACCCTTAACCCCATCCCCTGTGCGGGGTTCTTGTCCCTCCCAGGCAGCTCTGGCCAGGGCTCAGCCTTCCTTGATGGCTGTCCCAATCCACTGGCCTTTTAGGAGAGCGCCCCCAGCAGGAGACCCACTGTAATCCCAATCTTACTTTCCTGCTTTTCTATGTATTTCTTCCTGGGGAACACTGACAATCTAAGGAAGGGAACTCACCTCCCCTTGAAGAGGGCTTGCTCCACACCAGGTGGTCGGACTGACAGCTTTTCCCCTTCATAGCGAGATGGTCACTGAGCTTTCCGAAAAAAAATAAAAATCGTGATATGAGGAGGACTGCGGGGAGAGGGGAGTTGAGATGACGGGGGTCTTTGAAACAGCCCAGTAATCAGCATTCCCTCTCTATCACCTCAGATATGAACCACTTGGAAATAAGACAGAGGAGATGACAGATTGCAGCTTAACATCGCCATGTTCCCTCAATACTGCAGAACACGGCTTGTATCTGTGGGAAGACGGGTTTCCTAACACAACCCCAGGGTTAGACGGGAGATCACAAGGGGGCGTTTCTTGGGGGCAGCTTGTTCCCCAAAGGAAGGGGAGAGGAAGAGGCCAAGTTCACAGTTCCTGGGTCAGAGTAAGAGCCAGGGGGCCACGTGTGTTACAGCAGGTGGAGCTCCCTGTACAAGGAGAGAAGCATCAGGGTGAGAAATGGGCGTTCATCCTGTTAGAAGGACCTGGTGCCTTAACTGTAGTGCCCCACCTTAGCCACGGCGACTGATGGACCTGTTAGCTTTTGTTAGCCACGTCCGAGGGAGGAGAGAGGAGTGTTACCTTTCAGTCTGCGGTAGATATTGTTACTCTAGTACTACTGTATGCTTGCTCGTGCTGATGGTGGAAGGTGACGGCATTTTGGGGTGAGGGCATGTTCACCACGCCGCCGAAATCCAGACAGGAGAGCCTCTGGGCAGGGCATCTGCCGGGCTTGCCAGGAATTGACTATTTGGGTGATGTGGCTCTCGAGCAAGCGTTCCTGTCCTCTTGTCTTTACTAGATAGAAGTGTTTTTTTTTTTTCACACCTCAAGGTAAGAGAAGGACCATTCTTCAGCTCGGTTCGTCTGGATGTTTCCTGCCTGTGGGTGTGATTGTTGGCTGGTGGTTCAGGCCTCTGGGACGTGGTTTCTGAATGCTTGGTGACAAGGATCCATCCGATGTGGTTTCGCCCATTTGTATGATTCCACAGCACAGTGCTGCAAGAATATGTATTTTTCCTTTTTCTCTTCCAGGCTGACAGCTTTTGATACCTAGGCTATCATTAGTACTTAGAACTTGATCTTCAGTAGCTACCAGGATGGGGCACCATGGACAGCACCACAAAGAGGCTGCAGCCAAAGGCTCAGCTGTTCCCACTGGACTTTGTGTGCAAGAGGAATGAACCTACTTTCCCTTCCCCCTGCCCCTCCCCTCCCTCTCCCCTCCCTCCCCTCCCTCCCTCCCCCCTCCCTCCCTCCCTGTTCCTTTCCTTTTCTTTCCTTCCTTCCTTCCTTCCTTCCTTCCTTCCTTCCTTCCTTCCTTCCTTCCTTCCTTCCTTCCTTCCTTCCTTCCTCAATCCTTCTTTCCTTCTTCCTTCCTTTCTGTCCTTCTTTCTTTCTTTCCTTCCTCCTTCTGTTTTTTTCCTTCTTTCTTCCTCACTCCCTCCTTCTTCAGGCCAGACGTGCAAACTAGTTAGAAACAGTCCCTGATATGTAAAGGTTCTTAGTAACTATGTGCAGAATGAATGAACTCATTGAGTTTTGAATGCGACATTTTATGCTCCAATAGATTATTATCTTCACATGTTAACAACCACCAACTTTCTAGAACAGAAAACTTTCAGAGATTTTAATTAAACTCTTCCTGGAGTGAAACAGCTAACAGTTTTTATTATTGGTGAAGTTTAATTTTTTTTCTATGCCAGATGCACCTGTGTTGGCAGTCCTGTGATAAAAACAATTTAATTGCATGTACCGAAATCTCTTTCAACAACTTTTGCATGGTAAAACCAGCATAGCACTGAATTGGCCGGTCTGTTATATGTTGCAACATGACTCAGTGTCAGTTGGTGGATATAACTTTTTTTGCAGAGATCATAATCCATTTGTGCATTCATTTTTTGAGTAGGACATTTTCAGTAGGCTCCGTGTAGGTTCCACTACATTCTTCTCACTCACGTGTGATTAGAGTGTTTCTGCTGTGGAGATTTTAGGCAACAATGTTGAAGAAAAGCTCTCTTCCTAGTTTATAGAATTGCCCGCACCACAAGGTTATTCGTTGTGATGTTGAAATTATTAGTTACAGGTGGACCTTTTAAAGAAATCTTTGAGGAAAACATGATAAGAAAATAAAGTCAATCCTTTTGCGAGGCAGTCCCTATTATCATTCCATTTTGAGAAATTGTCCTCAGTTCAATTGCATTGCCATGGTGATATGTTTGCATTTCAACAAAACTGAACTGAGCCTTAAACTAGAGCTCCGCATGCCTAGCTCTCCGTTTTAGGACTTTTATTACAGTATCTTTATATTGAATAAAATCCCTCACGTCCTGGCTAAAAAAAAAAAAAATCACAACAAAGCAACAATTTTTCAGCTAGACAAAGCAATCTGGATTGTTAATTTCAGGATTCTAAGAAAATCACATAAAGATGACAGGAAGAATGGTGATTAGAGGGGGTAAAAAATCAAATAATTAAAAAAGCCCAGGAATGAATAGAAATATACAAATCTCTAAAATAACATTGTGGAAGTAAACAAAAACAGCCAGAGAATTTTGCTTTATGAGAACTGGACACGTGGCTTTAGCCCTCTGAGGTATGAAACAAGGAAGCACTTATAGAACTGTCAGTACTCACACACCCCTCTGAATGGAGAGCTCTTAAACCTGCCTCCCCCTCCTTTGGGAATGATTGCACGCATCGTTTTGACAACTAAATGAACTGTGCAGGAGATGGGGGTTGAGTTCTTCAAAACTTCCCCTAGTTAGTGCCAGTGAGACATGGGAGATAGTTTCGTATGATAGCGCTTGTATAAGGAGAAAGGGAAGAACACACCATCTATTCTAACCAGTCAGCAAAGTGTGAAAACAACATTTGGACAGAAAGACACAACCATCCTATCGCTTCTGCCCAAATATCATAGCAAGCCCTCTCTTCGCAGATACTTTTGCTAGCCTACGGACACATTAGCTGGGCTGGCGCTGGGCTCTCGCAGGGCTTTGTGCCAGCTGCTCTGCTTGCTGATAAACAAGCCTTGCGCGTGTGCCTGGCAACCCGGCCGCCGTCGTGGCAACGGGACTTCGCTCTGTAAGTGGCGGGGACAGTGAGGTTCGTGCCTCTCAGGGCCCCTCTGCAGCTGCCTCTTGACATAGCAAACGTTAGCTGCCTTTCCTGGCAGTCTCAGAAGGATGGTGAGAAACCAGGGGGAAATGAATCGGGAGGCAAATGAGAAAGCTTCTGAGATTGTGAGCCCAGACTGTCTGAGAGCTCATTCCAGAGCCGGCACAGGGGAGAACCAAGGGAGAATGAGGACTTTTATTCTCGTTGAAAATGAGGCCGTTATGTGAGATAATGTTTCCATAGAGGGACAACCAGCAGCAACCTCTGGAAGCCGAACAAAGATTAAATTAAGCCAGGGATATGAGAAAACTTTCTCAATAGCAGAGGGAAGCGTTCAATCTGGGACTGTCTAGATCTAAGGAAAGATTCAAACTTTTGCATTAAAAGTGCCTGTTAACAATCACTGAACACTTACCAGGCACTGTGCTAAGCTTTTCCACACTTATTTTGTCCTGTCTAAAGGTGGGGTTTCTTATTGCTCTTTGATAGAGGGAAAAAACTAATGCACAGAGAGGTTGAGGAACTTGTCTGAAGTCACTCAGCTATTTGGTAGTCGTGACAGGCTGTGTCTTAGGCAGCCTGTTCCCAGACTGTGTTCTTAAACACTACTACTATTTTACAGTCGTAGTGACAGTTGCAGGGCTAACGGGGACAAGAAACATGAAGATCACCCACATGGCAGTGCATGTGATGGTTTGTGGTTCCATCGTGAAAGCTACACTTTCAAATGTTTAATTAAGACAACTTTTTTTTTTAAATGCCTAGAGGGCAGCAAAAACGTGGGTATCCAGAATAACAGATATTGCTAAAATCTTACACCCACACCTCTTCTTTTTATAGTCAAGTATTGGTATACACATATTTTCATACACCTACGCACACACACATACACATGGAAGACACTTGTTTCTCAAGTCCCTAAAATACCCCGATAATTAAATGCTCCAGTCAGAGCATCACCCTCAGATGTCTGGGAGAAGCAGCCCAGGAACACACTGGTTGGTTTGGGCAATGGGCAGTGGTGAAATATTTACCTCGCTGATCAGTTCTCCAGTAGATAATGCAATTAAGACGCCACCATCTACCCTTTGCCATACACCTGCTCCTCTGCCACCATACAAATCCACTCCCTGTCCTTCCACACCTTCCCTTCTGCCTATCTCCTCAAGCCCAGGAATGTCTCCAGCTTCCCACGTACTTGCAGCCCTCCTTTGCCAACCTCAACCTATTTAGATTGCAATTATGTTCGCATCCCAATTTATGACTTAACAAGCATCTCACGAACATTCAATTCACTTTAATTTCATTATGCTTTGAGGAGGACGATTTACAGGGGGGAGGGATGAGGCTCCCACTGGCAGCAATTAGATCGACTTAATGATCTATGGTGAAATCTCCTTTTGGGCTTTGGACTTTTCGTACAAGTCTACAGACAAGACTGGGCTAATAGAGAAGTTCCTGGATTCTCCAAGGGGCTAAGCTGCCCCCACAAAGCCCTGCAATATCCAGCGTGGAAATTCATGAAATGGACAAAACATTCCCTGTGGCTCTCAGGCAATTTATTTTGTCACGATACTTTCCTGTGTGGAAAAAATTGGTATTTTCATAAGCAGTTTTAACAATATCAGTTAATTATATTTTTCAGGTAGCTTTTCTAAGGAGATAGGGAGGGGACTGATGAGAGCATAGACCAAATTATTTCTCCCTGTTCCCACCTTATATAATGAGCACCCTCCTAGGAGTTAGAGAAGTAACTTCTTTTGATGCAGAAGGCTTGCATTTCTTTAGCTTTCCTGGACAGATCAGCCAGTGACTATTTTTTATTCTCAGTCTTTCTTCCAAGAAGGGACAAAGGCTGGCCTCTCTTCAGTGGGAGATAGTCTGATTTCTTTTGTTAGGGGAGGACAACTTTGGCCACTTTATTTGAACTGGTGAATTGTTGAATAACTTGAAAAAAGCTGTTTCCATCACTAAGCTGCGGACTGAGAGTTAATTACATCAGAATTCTGATCCCGGCTCTGCCTCTACTTAGCATCATTTCACAAAAGCCCCTTAACTCCTCTTGGCTTGTGTTTCGCATCTGTAAAAGGAGGCGTGTGAACGTAAAGGTCTCTCTGTGCTCTGAGAGTCCCTGCCTTCTGACTCACTGGAAGGCAAGGAGTAGGAGCAGATCGCGTGGGAAGGATTTCCTCAATTGCCCCAAATGCAGTGTTCTTTTGTAACAAATCAACATAGGCAATGCGGAAATGCCATGCACTCTGGAGTTAAGCACATAGTTAACATATTTATGCTAGTGTAGGGCTCTGGGGTTCCCTGATGACAGTCTCCAGCACCAATTCTGGGAGTTTCGAGAAGACCTGAAGGGTTGGTTATCCAGCTTAGAGGCAACACCAGTGTTGTCTTTAGTCATTAAAGGGGAAGACCAGTGTTGCTATCTGTCCACCCCCGGACCCCATTGGCATGATTCCTTTGCCCCCAAAATAGTCTAATTCCCATTCTAAATGCACTTTCGCTACCTGGCGACTGACTCCTGCAGAGGCTGGCATGAGATGAAGCTCATGCTACCCATCTAGGCAGCGACCCTGTCATACTGACTCCCGTCCTGTCTCTTGTGGGCGAGAAACAGTCAGCAAACACGGCAGCCACAGCGCCAGCTCAAACACCTGTGCTTTAAAACAAAAGTATGTTATAAATGTAAAGCCTCAGCAGGGGGAAGGAGGGGAAGAAACACACAAATATTATTCTTAGCCAGAGTCTGTTACAAATGAGTATGGGGGGGTGGCTGTGTTTTCCTTTTCATCCAGACATCTTGGCCTGACTCAGGTTATGTTTTCCAGCATATTCTCTTTGACCCAAGGGGAACTGGCTGCAAATCCAGCACTGCTACTGGGGAAAGAGCCCCAAACCCATGGCTCTCTAGTGGAGGGTCAGTAACACCACGTGAAAAATGGCAGCTAGCCCCTCTTGGGACATAATTACGTTTGCACCAGTGAGGAAATTAGAATTGCTGTTTGGGCTGCAGTCTTGGTATCACGCAAGAAACATTCAAAGCATGAGCTAAGCAGGGATTCTAGACCTGCTTGTGTTCTCGTCAGGCTTCAAGGGGCCTGAGAACCTCGTAGACCATGTGAAAACTTCTGCATGTGCCTTTCTCTGGGAGAGAGTGCACAGCTTTCGTCAGATTTTCACAAGGTAGCCTGTGATCTAAGAAAGGTTAAAAGTCACCGAGAAAATGCCTTTTCCCTCGCATCCGTATTCCGAATCCCGAGTGATGCCACTGACTTGCTGTCTTAGTGCATTCGTGTTGCTATAACGGAAAACGCGAGGCTGGGTAATTTATAAAGAAAAGAGGTTCATTGGGTTCACGGTTCTGCAGACTGCACAAGAAACGTGGCACCGGCGTCTGCATCTGGTGAGGGCTTCAGGAAGCTTCTACTCATGGCGGAAGGGGAAGGGGGGCTGGTGTGTGCAGATTGCATGGCAAGAGAGAAGCAAGAGAGAGGGGAGGGAGTGCCGGGCTCTTTTTCACAATCAGCTCCTGGGGAACTAATAAGTGAGAACTCGCTCCTGACCTGGGGGATGGCATCAAGCCGTTAATGACCCAGACACCTCCCACCTCCAACACTGGGACGGAATTTCAAAGTGACATTTGGAGGGGACAGATATCCACGCCGCGTCACTTGCCTGTCTTTCTCCTCTGCTCTTCCCAGAAAAAGCAAGTGAGTCAGACCAAGATCCGGGTCATCTCAACCATCCTGTTCATCTTGGCCGGCTGCATCGTGTTTGTGACGATCCCTGCCGTCATTTTTAAATACATCGAGGGATGGACGGCCTTGGAGTCCATTTACTTTGTGGTGGTCACTCTGACCACGGTGGGCTTTGGTGATTTTGTGGCAGGTAAGCACCCTGGGCGTCCCAGTCATGGGGGGCCCTGCAGGGGAAGACAGTCTGCTGGCTGTGTTTTTAAAAAAACACCGTAAAGGATGCTGCGGGAGAAGCAGGCGAAAATGACTCCGTGTCACGGCTGCTGAGCATGGGCTCACTTCACACCCCTCGTCCCGTGTGATGTAAACACCCTGGGATTTTGCTGTCATGAAAGGCTTCCCCTTCCTTCTCGGGGTGCTGCTTCCCTTAGCACCACATGAATCATGCAAGCACAAAGTGAATTCCTCGTTGAATCTTGATCCTCTGAATTAAGACTCTTTGAATCAAATGATAAGGGCTGTGTATTAGCAGGGGGCAAATGTGAAACTCAGGCGAGATCAGCACACACCTTGGTCTGCAGTGACCTGCGGGTGAAGCTTCCTGACCCCTAGGTGAGAACTGCTGTCCCTGCAAAAGTCATCCTGGGCATACCCAGACACACGAGTTAGGACTTTGGGAACTGAGAACTGCCCACAGGGAATATAATCTAACGCAGTCTGAAAGAGTGCACGTAGAAGCAATAGCCCCTGTTGCAAAATAAACGTCAATGAGCTATGTTTAAGGAAGTGAAAGAAAACCACCATCGATTTCATCTAGGGACAGGGGGCTTGAAGATGAAATGAGATTTGGCTTCATACGTGTTCCCAAAGTGTGGTAGAAAGGTAGGAATAGCAGGAGGAGGCCACTGTCTTCTCTTAGCGGGATAGTTGTAGGTGTGCAGACAAGTGATCATTTTCTACTCCAAGAAGTGAGCCCTTTGATCATGCACCTCTGTCGTAAATTCAGATGTGTGGGTGGAGCCTGTGTGCTGGCCTGTGTTTCCTCGAGCGGTTCCTGGCCAAGCAGCAGCCCGGGCACTCCCAGGCTGGGCTCCCAGGCTCCTCCAGGGTATTTGGTACACATCAGGAGGATGGGTTATCTGGTCTCTGAGAATCTGGTGAATAGAAAATTCTAGAAGGGATGTTGAAGGCTAATCAATAGGAGCATGGCTGCCTCTGTTTTAATTTTTTCATACAGACAACTGCCAAAGTGGTTTTGTAGCTATTCCAACTGGGCAGATGAAGAATGAAGTCCACTTTGTAGAAATAGTAGGGTTTTTAAAAATTCCTTCCCTTTTATAGACCAAGGACTAGGAATTGCAAAGTCAAGTGATTAAAAATTGTTTACAGACAGCCTTGGGCCCGAGACCCCAGCAGTCCTTCCTTGTGCGCGGGGCTCAGCCACTGCTGTCTGATTAGCAGCCCCAGACTCTGAACAGAAAGTGAGCGAAGTAAGAGGAACGGGTTGCAGGTGTGTTCTGGTTAATTCTTTAGCACCATCCACAGCTGGTCTGTGGGAAACCTCAGTGGAGGTTCCGATCGAAATACATGCAATGGAAGCTGGGGTTTTGAACTGTTTCATAAACATAAACACCTTTAAGCACCCCAAAGCATGATTTGCAGTGGGTTGTGCTTCAGAGCTGCCTTTGCTGGCACCAGGCTGTCCCAAGGACTGTCTACCTGTAAAGCCACTTGTGACAGACACAGCTGTGTAACCAGTTGCTTAGTTCAGGCTGTTAATCTGGGGCACAAACAGCAGAGCCCTGGGAGTATGAGGCTTTCTAAAAAAATCATTTATGCTTTCAATTAATTATTTATTATTATTATCCACCGTGGACCGAACACTGAGTACAAAGCGGCACTTCATCTTTACTTACCCAGTAAGGGCGCAACCTGCACATTCCCAGGCACCCACAGTGGTACCGTCCTTGCCGGTGATTTTAGACCAGGCTGTTTCTAAAGCTCCAGTTCCCAGAGCTCACACAGACCATTCTGGAGAATGCATGCCTCAAAAGACTGGAAGCTTGTCTTTTTGGTAAACTCCAGGGAGCCCTAGAGAAGCTTGCCCAATCATTGGAAAAAGATACATTGACAAGAATCCATGGTTGCTGTGATTTGACATGGCATCAGCTCTACAAGAAATATAATCAGAACGTCACAGTCACGGAGGATTGTATTGCTGGTTTATTTTTCAGTCGACTCGGTTTGGGACAACCCAACAACATTACAGCATTTCGCATCCAGACAGGGAGAACAACAGAGCTCCAAATCCAGACAGGCAGCAGCGGGTAAAGAGTGTTGACTGCCTTGTTCACTGGCGCACCCTAGTGACAATCTTTGTTGGGTGATAGTGACTTGCAAAGGTAAATATTTACCCCTAGATAACCCGGAGGAGAAAGCTACATACAGATTTCTCTGGCGTAGCACAGAAACGAAATGAACCTCAAAACCCACTTAATGTTGCAGGAGCCTGAATTATTAATATATCCTAGAAAAAGTTGCAGGGGAGAGTTGCCTAAAGGAAAAAATAAAAAACAAAAAAACAAAACCAACCAAAAAAAAAAAGCAAAAACCAGAGGCAGCTAAACCAAACCGAAGGGGGCTTGATGCAGAGAAGTTGGAATTCTGACGTGAAGTGGCAGCAGCCATCAAGACCTTGGGTTTGGGCATGTTGACAAGAGCCAGTGGCCACAGCTTTTTCCCAGCTGCAAACGCAAAGCATCACTGATGCTATAAGAACTCCATGGTGCTAGCTGTAGTTACAACCCTGAGAAAGTGGGAGAGTGTAGCAATCACTCATCAACTAATACCACAGTTACCAATCATTGCTAGTATCGATCGTCTTAGCAACCGCCTGCTTTGTTAGGCAATGAGGTCTCTCAGAGTGAGGACAGGGCTGACGTCCATTGTTTCAGGAAGCTTCCTCACTGCTGCTTCAGGAGAGCGGGCTGGGCTGGGAGCCTATCAGCAGTGCCCGTAGCAGGGCTAGAATAAATGCGTAATTATTTGGAATAAATGACTGGTCTTTTCAATGGAACAGCCAGTCAATGTAGTAAGGCAACGGGCCAATTTGGTTTGATGGATTTTTTTTTTTTTTACTGTAATCTTTATTTATTAAATTAAAGGATTGGACTAGCTGGCCTCAAAGGTCCCCTTTCAGTTCTAGCTTATGGTGATTTAATTACTTGGCCTAATTGACCCTTAGGATTAGCAGGATGTAAACACAGCTCCTCATCGTTAAATCACTGGTACATGTATCAAAGTCTCGATAATGCCATTAAGCCTCATTTTACTTCTCCATGTCCGCTTGTCTCTTGGCAAATGCATGGGTACTTAAGATGGAAATGGTTCCAAGAATTCCAAACCATATGGGATGATTTAAGGATACTCAATTTTTATTAAAATAAATTTAGGGAAGTTTAAGGAAAGAGACAATGACAGCCGGCCCTGATCTGTCATCCTGTAGCTCAAAGTCTTTCATTGCCAATGCTCAGGTTGAGCACAGGTGGGTCAAGTTGGCTGCTGACATTTTTTTGTTCCTGGTATTAAGGAAATAAAGCCACACCTTGGGCTCCCTTTTGGGAGGGGACACATCTTTCCCTTGCTCTCTGACCCCTGCCCTCCTTGGGTACAGCAAGCCTAACAGCCAAGTGTCAGATGATGGTGGAGTGACATCTTCATTACACGGACTGGAATGTGTTTGCTCTGCCAAGACCGTCTGCTGGATCACAGTTAAAGTAACGTTTGGTTGTTTTCAGGGGGAAACGCTGGCATCAATTACCGGGAGTGGTATAAGCCCCTGGTGTGGTTTTGGATCCTTGTTGGCCTTGCCTACTTTGCAGCTGTTCTCAGTATGATCGGAGATTGGCTACGGGTTCTATCCAAAAAGACAAAAGAAGAGGTAAGACCCCTTCCCTAACTCTATGAATGTCCCCTGAGATCATACGAGCTTGTGTCAAGAATTGCCTGTCTCTGTTCTACGGGCTACAGAGTTTCTCACTCTATGTTGGGGGAGGGGGAGGGAGAGGGTGCGGGCAGGTAGCTCATGAGGCTTCCTCATTTTAATCATTGCCCCAAAGCCAAGTTGAATGGAAGATCAGTTATTTCTGGATCCCTTTCTGGCAGATGAGAAAACATGGTAATTTGTTTACCAGCCCACAAATCCTGGAAAGACTAGTAAAAACCAACTGATTTTTTAAAAAGATGACTAGAAATATAATAGCAAAGGTAGACTGTGGCCGAGGAGGGTGTGCAATTGCCCCTTATCAGGTCTCAGGTCTGTGTGGAAATGCAGCTGAACACACGCATCCTTCTGGATTCGGTATGAGACTGAAATCATCAAACGGTGGCCAGCCATAGGGGTCCCTTTCACCCATGTCCCCTCCTGGTCGTCAGATCCGTAGAGACAGGCCAGGGCTATGCGTGTACATTTACACAAAAACCTACAAGGAGGCAAGAAAAGGAAGGCACAAGAAGGAAAGATAGATTTTGTGATTAAAAAAAATGTTCACGTAGTTCTAGGAAGAGAGGAAAAGAAAGCAGGAAGACAAGGTAAGAAGAAAGCTAAACACAGGGAGGGAGATAAGAAAACCCAAAGAAATAATCAGAGGGCCAGCCTCTGTGCACCTCATTCCATATAAAAGGCCCCCGGAGCAAGTCGCTGAGCGGAGAAATTTCCCATATCATTTTGGGGGCCCAAGTGTTAATTTTCCTGCTTACATAAGCACTGTCAGAGCAATTTCCAGTCTGATTCCCCAGATAGCCCCCTGATCCGCTGAAAATCAGCTATAGCAAGAGGGAAAAGAACAACATAATAGCGACTTTCCCGAGTGCAAAGATTTGAGTTACTCATCTGCATAGGGAAGCGAGAGCCGCACACTGCCTGCCCTGTTCATTAAGGGCCAAGACATCTGATGCTTGTCCTTAGGTGAAACGTCACTCTAAGGAAGGGTGCTCTGTGGGCTCTGGCAGAACATGACCTCATCGTGCACCCTGGCCAGGGAAATTTGGTTCCCAGGTGTCCTGGAGGGTCTTCTTAAATCAGGGCAAGCCCCATAGCACATGGCCATGGCATGGTCCAGATATGGGGTGACCACCCATGCCAGTTTGCCCAGGACTGAGGAGATTCCGGGGACAAGGGACTTTCTGTTTTGAAACTGGGACTATCCCAGACAAACTGGGACAGGTTGGTCACCATTCCAGATGGAGCTGTCAGAGGGACAGCGAGGGCCCCGGGGCCTGCTGAGCGTCTGCTCTGTCCCCAGGGCTGAGCTAGGTGCATTTCCTCACCTCAAAAAACAAAGCTAGAAACTCCGTGAGCTGGATGGGATTTATCCCACTTTATGTCCGGACATGAAGCTATTCAATTAACAAGAGTGGGAGCACAACCGGAAGCCAGGCTTGTCCAAACCCAAGTTTTGGTCTCTCCCCCAGGCAGGACACTGCCTGCCTGTCATTCAGTCCCCATCTCCAAATCCCAGGCTTCCTTTGGGTCCTCTGCCCAACGTGTGCCTCCTTGAGCCACACGAGTCGCTGGACAACTGGAGATGGGTGTTCAGGGGGTGAGGAGTACTAGGGCGGGAGGAGCATTTGACACCCCTCCCTGGGCACAAGCTCCACCAAGTCCTGGCCCTCCCTGAGCCACCCTCCCCACGGGGACTCCGGGGGCCGTGGTGCTGGGCGGCCGAGGGAGGGGTGGGAGGGAGGGAGGCGTTTCTCAGCGTGCTGTTGCCCCTCTGTCTCTTGGCCAGGTGGGCGAGATCAAGGCGCACGCGGCCGAGTGGAAGGCCAACGTGACGGCCGAGTTCCGGGAGACGCGGCGGCGGCTGAGCGTGGAGATCCACGACAAGCTGCAGCGGGCGGCCACCATCCGCAGCATGGAGCGCCGGCGGCTGGGCCTGGACCAGAGGGCGCACTCGCTCGACATGCTGTCCCCCGAGAAGCGCTCCGTCTTCGCCGCGCTGGACGCCGGCCGCTTCAAGGCCTCGTCCCAGGAGAGCATCAACAACCGGCCCAACAATCTGCGCCTCAAGGGGTCGGAGCAGCTCAACAAACACGGGCAGGGCGCGTCCGAGGACAACATCATCAACAAGTTCGGGTCCACCTCCAGGCTCACCAAGAGGAAAAACAAGGACCTCAAAAAGGCCTTGCCCGAGGACGTTCAGAAAATCTACAAGACCTTCCGGAATTACTCTCTGGATGAAGAGAAGAAAGAGGAGGAGACAGAAAAGATGTGCAACTCGGACAACTCCAGCACGGCCGTGCTGATGGACTGCATCCAGCAGCAGCACGCGGGGCTGGAGAACGGAATGGTACCCACGGACACCAAAGACGGGGAGCTCGAGAACAACTCACTACTTGAAGACAGAAACTAAATGTGAAGGACATTGGACTTGGACTGAGCGTTCGGGTTTTTTTGTTGTTGTTGTTGTTTTCGTTTTTGTTTTTGTTCTTTTTTATATATATATATTCACACTGAGACACGTGCCTTAAACAGACTTCTTGTTAGTCCAAAATTACATAGCATTGGAGAATATATTTCACTGTGCCATAAACAACTGAAAGCTTGCTCTGCCAAAAGGAATCAAAGAACAGCAACTTCATGTCGGATAGCGACCGGGGGACGCAGGGGAGCGTCCGAGGGCGCGCGCGTGGCAGGTTGTGGCTGTGCGCGTCGAGGGTGTTTTCGGTGGCGGTGGCGGTGCCGCTGTGCCGCGCCGCCCTGGCGTGACGCACAGACAAGGGCAGCTAATTCCTTAGACCAGCCTCCCGGAAGGAACAGGTGTGTCTTTTAAGTGGAGCCTTGCGCACATGCAGGAGGGGACCTGCTTGGGGAAGGAGGGGGGGGGACTGGTTTAACCATAACGAGGGTGTAGAGGTGACATTTAGGCATGCGCTCTGAGCTCCACTTTTGATACAAACCATTCAGTGCGTAATATTAAATACCAAGTCTTTCTAAGCTCCAGATGAATGTCTGTGGGACCCGAGAGCACCTGGAATTTGTTGGAAGCAGATCAGAGCACACGTATTAAAAAGGTGCAATTGCTTTTCTCATTGCAAAAGAAAAAAAAATACAAACACATCACACTGTGGATATTACCTTAACCAATGACAGAAGCCTACTGAGTCTGGTCTTTCTCGCAGGGGTAGGCAGTCTAAATGAACTTGCAAGCATTGGTGAAAACTCAGCATCAACCGCTGCATGGTTAAAGGCCAATCACGCGTTTTTCCTCAGTGGGTGCAATAGTGAAAATAAACTGGTTTTGAAATGTCCATGTTCACTTTTCTAGTGGAACTTCGGTTATCACTTGTTTTGATAAGAGGGGGGAAAAATACCAAAACTATTGCCTTGCATGATGCCAGTGGCTTGCTGTTTTGTCTAGCTGATCCTAAATTTTTATAAAAATAAGACTTCCTGCTTTTCTGAGACATACCAAGGGGTACCATGGCATCTTTCCATCTCAGGGCTTTCTGTCCCTTTGGGTGTCTTAGGGTAGACATAGTTATGAGATCCAATCTTGCTATTTCCAAACAAAAGGAAAATTAATCCCTCACCCAACCCTTGTATAGAAAGCTTAAAAATGTTTTTATTGCTTGCAGCATAAGTGCCATTAACTCCATTTAAAAATAAGTCTTAGAAGTACTTAAAATATTTAATTTTCCTTTTATGTTTGGGCATTCCTTTATTCTGAAGGCATCACTTCTTCTCCTTGCCTGTTTCATCTCACACCTGTTAGTTACTAAAACTAGACCACCCCTGCAATTGATTGTTTCTAGACAAACCGAGAGCCACTACGTGATAATTATCATCCTTACGCGAGGTTAGAGCGTCCAAGTGAAAGAAAGTAGGGGAGTGGCCAGTCATAGGTTCTGAGAGGATGACTTTTACATGGATTCTTTTATCAGAAAGGGAAATACATGTATTAGGCCATCATCCTGTGTGTGCCTCAGTCCTTATCGCGATTGGCTGGCTGTTGCGCTGGTTCAGAGTCAGCCATTTGGGCCACACACTTAAACATTCGGACCTGGCAACGCCAGGAAGTTGCTGGCTGTGGGCCTTCTGGGCTCACTGCCACCTTTTGGGGGAATTCGTGGGATTTTACATAACTAACCCACAGTGTAGATTTATTGAAAGATCACAGGACCAGTGGGGGACGCTTCCAGCAGCTATCAAGTGCTTTCTGACTTCCAGGGAAAATTATACTCAGTACATCCGTGACCGCTGCCACTTGGCTGACCTGTCCCTGCTTGGTTCTCAAAAAATGCACGGCTCTCCCCCTGCCTGGAGCACATGCAGCCCTCCCTGCTCCCCTGCAAACCTTCAGGCTCTAGCTAAAGCTCTGGCACTGCTTTTGAAAAAGAACTAAACAAGAATCAAGTTTGATGAGGTCCTTTCTATCCGAGGAAGGTCTGTGTTAACGCCTCCTTTGGGCTGGACCTGTGGCTCACCGGTGACATCCTGTGTTGACATAGTGATAAACAGCCACTTGGGAAATGATGTTTATGCAGGTATGGATGCTGGCTTTTGCTGTGGGAATCGTTCCAGCCTGACCAAATGTGTTTTAAGGAATTGGTGGAAAACTGAGACTTCCTCTCTTATTCTGACAAGTTGAAGTTTCCTGACTAAACTGTCCATGGATCTCACTCATTTGCGTTTCCACTCCGTTTTACCTTGGTACCTTCTTTGCGGTGGTGTGTTAAAATTCCAGGCCCTACGGTCCAATCTGGCAAAGAGGTTTCCCTATCATTTATCTAGTGCCTTCCGTGGGCCAGGCACTGGGTTAGGCACTTTATGAACGTCAGCTCACTGAAACCCTATCATACTATGTGGGAGTATTTGCAAACCCATTATGTAGATGAGGACATGAAGGCTCAGAGAAGCTAAGTAACCTACACAGTGGCACACAGCAAGAAGGTGGTGGAGCTGGTATTCAAAGTCTGACCAAAGTCTGCTTTCAACTTTGCTACAGTTTTTGTGTCATGCACCCATGTGTATATGTGTGTGTGTGTGTGCGCGTGCGTGTGTGCGTGTGTGTGTGCGCGTGTGTCTTTCTAGCTTCCTGGACACAGCTTACAGATGTGGGGAGAAGATGTGGAGGAATCTTTACCACCAAGAGAGTATAAGGTCTTGGTGTAAACACGACCTAAAGGGTCTCCCTTGCAGACACCTCTTGTATGTTTCCTTTTTGTTTTGGTTTCGGAAATGCTGTATGTGGCACCCTTTTCATATTGTTAAAAATGCCCTTCGAGAGCACTCTTTTGCACTTTACTTGCTTATCTTGCAGGAACTCCATATATAGCAGGAATAAAACAGTTCAAAGCACTGAGCCGCACACTCTAGCAGATGGGACAGGGGCCCGTGCTGGTGTGAGCACAGATGCTTCCCCGAGCGAGTCGAATCATAACATACAGAAGGATCAAAAATAACCTTGGGCCGGGAGTGGGAAAATCGATATAACCCATTCATTCCCTGAGTATGGTGGGCAGAGGCCCTGATGAATAAAATCAAAAAAGACTTTCTATAGAGATGGATCCATTAAATAGATAGGCAAGAGTTTAGAAAACTATAAAGCATTCTCCAAAGGAGAAGCTGAGAGAGAAGAAGGGGTTGGATTTCCTCTTCATATACGATTTGGGGGGAAGCCAGTTGTTCCGAAGTTACTTGAATGTTACCCCTTTTTTTTAGATGGGGCCAAATAGCATATAGAATACACGTGATAAGGCAAAGCTGCTACATATTCTATACACCCATCAGCACAGCCCTCCTTGCCCAAACTGCACTCCCACCCTTTCATAAACCTGGAATAAAAGGTTTGATTTTGCACAAGGAAAGAGAGCGTGTTCGAGACCTTCGGTGGGCAGTGTCTTTTGCCTCACCTGGCAATCGGGCACTGAATTTTTCTTCCACAACAGACTTGGAGGTTTACTGGTGATAGCCAAGGGACAGTTTGGAGAGATGGCAGCTCAATACTCAGTTCTCACCCAATAGTGATTTCAGGAATTGAGCACTTTTGGTGTAGGGCTGTATAGTGTGTGTGTGTTTGGGGTGGGTAGGGGTGTCCCTGGCTTGTAACTAAGGTGCATGGGACCATATGTGCTTCACCAGCTGTGGCCTGTGGTTGTGGGCGCATCAGTTCCCTGCCTAGATCTCTGTCACCTCGTCTGCACATCAAGGGAGTTGAGCACAGATAATAATGAAGGTCCCTTTTAGTTGTGCAGTTCCCTGATGAAACAAACATGCCCCAGTCCATAAGTTAACCAAATTTATTAAGAAAGTTATAAGTTGGATTTGTGAATACTAATGGTCCTACCCCTTTTAGGTTAAGGTGAGAGCTTGGTCTCCTGCCCTTTGGGATTTGTTTTCTGGGTGATTGATGGAGACCAGATGTACTTGGGACACTGGTGTCCAAATTAGGATTGTGCCCTGTGTAGGCTCTCTCTCTATCCTCCCTGGTAGCTTTTTAGCACACTGTCACCCAGAGGGCTCATTTGATGCGGGCATTTTTTGCATGGTGTTAAGACTAGTTAAAGAATTTTAAGCTGTTGCTATTTGCAGTAAATTGTACTTAAAGTTCCCTTTGATGACTTCATGGATTCACGTACTGTGGACAGACAGACATCTCTCTCATACACACACACACACAGAAGAAATGGCTGCTTTGGGTTCTGCGGGGACCATTCCAAGTTGAAAGTCCTGGGAGTCCTAAACACTAACAAACCACCCCCTTGCCTCCCTCTGAGATGGTATCACTTCCTGGCTAAGTCAATGCTGCATATCTATTTGTGTGCTTGGTTTTGAAGATTAGCAAGAATGTGGCCAGAGTTTGGGTGGGGCAGGTTTTTACTCATTGCATTGGATGAGAATGTGAACCATCCAACGCATACCATCGTTTCTGAACCATAGGAACAGGAAAACAAACCAACATGCAGAGCCTCTCTGAAACAAGAAAGAGAAAACAAGCCAGTATTACGTTCCATACCTCTGCTTTCTGCCTTCCGCTAAAGGTTTCGAGTGGGGTGAGTCTTTCTCGGTGTCACGATGCCACTGTGTGCAAAGGCAGTGGCTGAGTGGGCAGGGGGAGCTTTTGGTGACATCGTTTAAGAGCTAGTCAGTAAAGGCCTTAAAAATAAAAATGGTAACTCTCTGAAACAAAAGTCTCCTTCAGGTGGCATTGTGGGTGCTGTTAGTTTTGCATACGGAAATTTTAGAATAGCATGCTAATTACACAGCTGTAAGTAAAGCCTTTGTCCTTGCACAATAGCTGCGGTGGACTTCACCAACCTGCCCATACTCCACGTAAACCTCGGTCCTCCCGTGGCAGTCTGTAAGTCTTATGACATCAGCATGGTGGCGTTGAGGAGAAATGAGAGGTGTCCCCGATTTTACTGAAAGTGATTATCGTTTTCACAGGTGCCTGAGTTTTGGAATCTACTTTGTGTTCTTGGCTCTTAGGTGAAAAATCTCAAATAGTTTCCTGTGCATTAAAAAAAAAAAAAAAAAACAATTCCTTGAGAGGACTCCCACTCCATCGACCCAGCAGACCTGTGCTGCAGAGGATGCCTGCACAACCTCTCCTTTGCCATCAGGGCTCCGAGCGTGAAGGGAGCAGGTGCAGTGGTGCCTAAAAGAGATATGCAAACCACCCCACATGCCGGCCTCCAGCCTCTTCCCCGTCCCAGCGTCACAGGCAGGGGACCTGGTGACAACGACGATAAACCCATGTGTGGAGGTGTCTTACCTATGTTTTCTCTCTGTAGGATTTCATGGTGCTTTAAAAAAAAAAGGCATTTTACAGAAAATAATGCGGGGGGAGGGGGATTTCGTAATGTTCTTAGGAAAAGTACAAAACAAATTTGCTTGTAACATTTCAATAAGCTGTGCTGCTATTGTCTTTATTTGATGATGTAGTTTTGTTTTGTTTTGTTTTTTAATGATGGAGAAAATTGCAACAAAGACCTTCTGGAAGATCCAATCCAATGTCTCTCCTGTTTTCCTTCCTTCCCTTTGTGGGGCCCAAGCGTGGTTCGTGGTGGCTGGGTTGGGAGCTCTGCCCAGGACCACAGGTCCTCTGTCCCTGCCCGCAGGATGGGTGCCGTCCACACATCCGCCAGCACAGAGCCCGTGGGGACTCACTGTCTTGCAGGAGGAGGAGCCCAAAGCCACCCAAGAAGAGGAATCTTAAATAACCCAGTATTGTTCTTGTACATTTACTTTCATTTTCCTATTTTTACCCAACCTTGATTGCATGTCGCTGGGGGTTGAACGGCATGGTAAATCAGATTTTCTTCGTAAAAAAACCCAGTTTGGACATTGTAACAGGTCTGCCAGTAAAAATGTTCAACTCCTTGGGTGCCAACGTTTCAAGCTGTGTTTGGTTTTGCCCTTATTATGTGCCCACCAGCCATGGGCTTATCAATAATGAGTAGATATAAAATGGTGACTATTTTTGAGCACCTATTGTATACCAGGAACTCTGCTAGGCAGTCTACAAACATCCCATTTAGTCTTCCAAATAAAACAAAAAGTTGGGTGTCTTCGTTTCATAGATGAAGATTTCAGGGCTCAGAGAGAATAAGAAACCTCCAACCCAAGTTTCTCACTAGGTCATGCAGCTGCCTATGACATGCGCTTTAACGACTTTTCCAGTAAACGTAATATGGTTCTTTCTGACTTGGCTGCTGAGGGAGGCATGCCATTAAGCCAAGGTACATCCCGTGCAAGTGGCCTACATGGTAGTTGAAGACATGACCTTGGCCCCAGATGACCCAGTGTGACTGCTGGTCATGAACTGGGCAGGAACAGACACGGCTCATATTTTTATTGTTTTCTTGAGCCTGCCACAGCACATGGCACACAGTGCAAGCTCAAAGTGATCTTTCTAAAATGCAAACGTGTCAGTGCACCTCCTTGACCTTCAGGACAAAACCCAAGAGCATGGGCCTGTCAGGCCCTGGGTGCCTTCCTGCCTTGTCACTGGTGGTCTCTGCTGCCACCAATCTGAATTACTTGCAAGCTCCCCAAATGGTCCACGATTCCTCCTTCTATCCCCAGGTCTGTGCACCTGCTGTTCCTTTGGAAGTCCGCCTTGCTTGTGTGCCACCTCCTCCGTTCCACCATGACCCGACTCATTCAAGTCCCCCAGAACTCGGCTGAGAGGTACCTTGGGGAGCATTCCTTACTCGTCCCCCTTCTCTCAGAGCCAGTTAGCTGCCTTCAACGCAGCTCGAGCTCCCCTCCACGATAGCAATAGTGCCAGTTATGCTGGCTTTTAACTGCTGGTCCCTCTGTCCCGTGTAGGTTATAAACTCCTCAGGGCAGGGATTGCACCTTTCATTTCCATCCTCAGCACTCAACTAGGCACCTGATACAACATAGACACTCAAATTATTGGTGAGATAATTTTAATACCTTTTTTGATAGCACATATGCGTCCTTCAAGGCAGATTTAATTTTTTCATGAGTTGGGAGTCATTTGGAGCCAAGACTTGTGGTCTAAGTCATTTATCCAACTCCTGAGTATCTTTTTGGCCAAAACCAAGTTTGCCTGTAAAGTGTAATGAGTTTGATTTGTATTTTGGATTTTCAAAGAGCTCCAAACTTTTAATCACAGTGATAGCTGTTGAAATGACTAGATCCTAAAAATGACTATTCTGAAGGATAGCTCTCATTTAGATATATAGATAAGGAATTCTTATTTAAAAACCAATCTTATTACCATAGATAGGGTCTGAATGTCTACGTACTTAGGCAATATGAGATTATGCTTTACTCTTGTGCCCGAGGCCGGCATCAGGCATCAATCACAGAATTCCTTCCCTATTAATCCACGTGCATTCTTAGAATCTATTTTAAGATTATTCTCCAGGATGGCAGTTCTCAAAATAGGGCCCAGTGACACTTGGAGGTCCCTGAGATTCTTTCAGGGGGTCCGTGAGGTCACAGCTATTTTCAGAACAGTGCTAAGATATTATTTGCTTTTTTCACACTTACAGGGGTATAGTATTTAGAATTGAGTAGCATTAGTCACTTAGAGAAGAGAGGCAAGGTAACATGAACATCAAAGAATTTTCCAAAATGATTGTAAATGGGCCTGTATTTCTTAGAGAACTCAAAATTACCTAGATATAACAATTATATTGGAAAAGGCTTTCTGCTCCCCCTCATAGGAGTAGATCACGGCAATAGCCATAAATCAATATTTCTCTGGTCCTGCCCCAGCTGCTCTGTGGGCTCCAACCCCTCCAGTTTCTCCCTAGTCTGTCCTGAGAGTCCCTGGCAGGGTCTCATGGGTGCTTTCTTGGCATTCATGCTGTGGGGGATCAGCTTTCTAGAAGCCTTTCTGCCACCCCAGGACTGGATCAGTTGGCCGTCCAGTGATCCGTGGATAACAACAGCCACTCGGTTTTGTAAATGTCATCATCTGCACATTTTTTTTTTTTTTTTTTGAGGCAGAGACTCACTCTGTTGCTTGGGCTAGGGTGCCGTGGTGACAGCCTAGCTCACAGCAACCTCAAACTCCTGGGCTCAAGCAACCCTTCTGCCTCAGCCTCCCGAGTAGCTGGGACTACAGGCATGCACCACCATGCCTAGCTAATTTTTTCTATATACTTTTAGTTGTCCAGCTAATTTCTTTCTATTTTTTTAGTAGAGACAGGGTCTCGCTCTTGCTCAGGCTGGTCTCGAACTCCTGAGCTCAATCTGCCAGTCTTGGCCTCCCAGAGTGCTAGGATTACAGGCGTGAGCCACCCTGCCCGGCCCATTTGCACATTAAGAGCTCTTAGTAGGAGCTCCCTTTCCCTCATTGTTTTCATGGCCTGGCAAAGCTGTGGCAGGAGGTAGGAGCCTGGAGGATATTCATGGAATAAAGAGCAAATTCAAAACTGTGGTATGAAGCAGAGGGGCTCTTCAGAGAGTGGGAGCAGAAGAGAGCCCAACTTCGGGGTGAGCTGGAGGGGAGTTCACAAGGATGCAGTGTGGGAAAGGAGATGAGGCGAAGGCTACTAGTCCAGGCAAATGGACAGTATCTTGGCAGATTTCTGGAGATGAAATACTGGCCACGATGGCAGCTTTTTACCTGGTTACTTCTACGAGCTTATATCAATCAAAGGAGCTGGAATGGTACCAACACCCTTAAAATAAAACTATCCGAGTTTTAACATGCTGGTGCATGCCTGGCCTCATGGACTTGAGATGGCACACAAATCAGCATCCAGCCAGTGCCTGCATGTGAAATGTTTCAAATTTTTGATGACTTATTGTTAGAAATACATTTAAAAAGACATCATATGAGTCTGAAACTAAAACCCAAATCTCACACAACTTATTTGGAAGAGCCATGCTTATTCAATGAATTTTTTAAAGGTCATTATTATTTGAAATCATTCAAGATAAATAAGGATTCCTTTTCTCACTTAGAATGTGATAACATTAGAATATTTTCCAGTATGATCACATTAAAATGTTTTCCAATATGATCATCTATGCCCTTATCTGCAGACTGCCTATATCAATGGCTCTTTGAATCATTTCCAAACGCCTGAGACAAAGAGCAGCTCCGGGACCTCAGAAAGATATGAATTTATTTTGAAGTGAAGAACCTTGGAGAACTCTCCTTAACACTCTGGAACCGACAGCATCAAGTTGCAAATGTAAGGAATAGAAACACACATAATGTCAGAGTTAGTTATGGCTGTGCATTTCAGTATTTTATTTAGAACATTAATCAATGCCTTAAAGAACACTTCGTTCCCCAGTGGTTTGGTTTCATGGAAAGAAGAAAAGTTAGGGACCATTCCATTATTTTGTATGAGCGAATATGAACCCAAAGCAATTTCTTCACTGAATTGTTGCTGAGAAAAAAAGAGAGAGAGAGCTAATGGCAAGGGTAATGGATTCAGACTGTACAATCCTCCCGTTTATTGAACAAACATTTGTGGAGCTCTACTGTGTGGGGGGCCCTGGGAGAGAGCCGGGGGTGGGGGGTGGGTTACGGGGCCGTCCGTGGTCCCTGCCGTTCCCGATTTCACATGGCAGTGTTAGGTTGCCCTGCGCCATGTGTGCTGGGGAGGAAAAAAACTGGCAATGCAAAGACATGCAATTAGGTTCAAAAGTACAAGGAATTATGCAAGAGTGATAGGCATTAGGCAGCCTGAGGATCGGTGTGCCTGGTGGCCGTCCCCGCAGGCTTCCTCCGAAGAGGCGACACCTTCAAGAAGGTGCAGGACTTGTCAGGTAACAGGAAACCAAAAGGCTCTAAGCCACGACTCTGCCTAATGGTATTTTAAGGTCAATCAGTTTGTCCCCGAAAATGCCAGCAAAATATCTCCTCGCTTGGGATTAAACTTTGCTGTAAGACATTCTCTATGAAGGGAGGGATACTTTCAAGTGACTGAAGTAAATTACAAACTCTTGAGCCAAACTTAAAAGATAAACAGAAGGTCAGCTCAGCTCTGCCGGTCAGGGATTACAGCAGGGATTGTAACTCCTTCTGAAGGCAAGTGTGGTTGCATCACACACCGTATATTAACTTTTCTCCCTTTGCTACAGGAACGGGGCTCCCCTTGCTGGGGTCCGCCTGGAGTCCGAGTGGGTGCTTGGCTTTGTGCAAGAAAGAATTCAGGAGCAAGCCGACAGTGTGAAGCGAAAGCAGGTTCTATTTAGGAAATAAAGAAGTATCTACTCCACAGACAGAGTTCTAGAAGCTCATTCTCCCTGCTGAGAACAGCAGCTTTGGGTTTTTCTGATTTTTTTTTTTTAAATATAAGCACTGGCCTAATCATAGGCTAAAAGCAGGGGAGGACCATCATGTTATTTCTTGGAGACGGGCGGTGATTTCCTAAAATGAGGAACCCTCCCCCTTCTTTACTTTGTAAAGTCCCTCCTGGAACTGTCCTGGTGTGGGTGGGAGAGTTTTTGAGCACGCCCGCACACTGGAGCACAACTAGGGTATGGCGAGCGGCCAGGGCAAGCAGT